CTCAGCCTCCTGAGTAGCTGGGACTACAGGCATGTGCCACCATGCCTGGCTAATTTTGTATTTTTAGTAGAGATGGGGTTTCTGCATGTTGGTCAGGCTGGTCTCAAACTCCCGACCTCAGGTGATCCGTCCGCCTCGGCCTCCCAAAGTTCTGGGATTACAGGCATGAGCCCACCATGCCTGGCCCGTAAAGAATTTTCAAAATTCAATAATAGGAAAACAAACAACCCAATTAACAAATAGGCAAAAGATCTGAACAGATGCTTCAGCAAATAAGATATATGGATGGCAAATAAGCATATGAAAAGATGCTCAACATCATTGGTCATTAGGGAAATGTTAATTAAAACTACCTTTGAGAAAGACTAAGGCTTTATCCGTAATAGTTCCAAACTGGAAAAAACCCAAATGTTCATCAAAAGGTTAATGAATATCAAAATGTGGCTGATCTATACCACAGGAATAAGACCAAGCAGCAAAAAACGGAATACATTACTGATATGCAAAAATATGGATGGATCTCAAAATAATTACTTTGAGGCTAGGTGCGGTAGCTCACTCCTATAATCCCAGCACTTTGGGTGGCCGAGGTAGGTGGATCACTTGAAGCCAGGAGTTCGAGACCAGCCTTGCCAACGTGGTGAAACCTCGTCTCTACTAAAAACATAAAAATTAGCCAGGCATGGTGGTGCACACCCGTAATCCCAGCTACTTGGAAGGTTGAGGCACGAGAATCGCTTGAATCTGGGAGGTGGAGGTTGCAGTGAGCTGAGATCGTGCCACTGCACTCTAGCCTTGGTGACACAGTGAGACTTTGTCTCAAAAAAAAAAAAAATTTTTTTTTTGAGTAAAATAAGCCCATCCCAAAAGAGATTTATGTGAAAATAATTTATATAAAATTCTAGAAGATGCAAAAAATTAATAAGGCCTCAATGACCTATAGAAGAGTATTATAACCTAACCACATGTATTTGGAGTCCAAGAGGAAGGGGAAGGAGAGAGAGTGAGAGATAAAAATATTTGAAGAAATAATGGCTGAAATTTTCCACATTTGATCAAAAACATCAGCCCACAGCTACAGGAAGCATGGTGAATCTAAAGCAGGATAAATACAAAAAACCCACAGCTGGGCATATCATAGTCAAACTGCTAAAAACCAAGCATAAAGAGAGAAATCCTAAGTCAGCCAGAAAAACATATTGCACCACCTACACGGAAATCACAACTTTTTTTAATTTTTGAATTTTTTATTATTTTTTTTTTTTGAGATGGAGTCTTGCTCTGTCGCCCAGGCTGGAGCGCAGTGGCGCGATCTCGGCTCACCGCAACCTCCACCTCCCGGGTTCAAGCAATTCTCCTGCCTCAGCCTCCTGAGTAGCTGGGACTACAGGCGCACACCATCGCGCCCAGCTAATTTTTTGTATTTTAGTAGAGACGGGGTTTCACCGTGTTGCCCAGGCTGGTCGTGAACTCCTGAGCTCAGGCAATCCGCCCGCCTTGGCCTCCCAAAGTGCTGGGATTACAGGCATGAGCCACCGTGCCCGGCCTCACACTGCATTTTCTAAATGAATAAAATAAAGCACAGAGAGGTTGAGCAATTTGCTCAAGCCACACAGCCATCAAGAGGCCGAGTTGGGATCTGAACCTCCGGATTGCCTGATCTGAGCTGTCTGAGGTTCTGTGATTTTTATTTCATCCTCAGGCTGCCAGATGCTTGGTGTTATTGCCATTTTCTAGACGGGTGAACTGAAGCTGAGAGGGAAAAAGCAACTTGCCTGAGGTACCCAGTGAATCAGCAGAAGTGAGATGAGTTATTTGATTTAATTCTCATAAGCAACCTCTGGGGTACTGAAGGTATTCGTATATTCCAGGACAGCTTTGAAAGTAAATGTGGGTGCTACGATGACTTATGCTATGATAAGAGGCATGAATCAGGACAGAGGGATGTCCTATTTTACAGAGGCCCAGAGCAAAGAAGGGTCTTGCTTCCTGGTCCACTACAACTGCCTAGTTGAGCCGTGACGGATTACTGGTTCCTCACAATGACCACGGGAAGCCTAGATGGACTTGCTGATTCCCCAGCTGGGGGAACTGAGGTGCCCCACCTGGTCGAACTTGCGCTGCTTCTTCTCCAGGGTGCTCACAAGCTGCCGCTGCTGCTCCAGGTCCATGGTGGCGTCGTCCAGCTCCTGCTGCAGCCGGCGGCGGCCCCGCTCCAGCCGATCCACGGTCTCCGTCTTTTCTGCCAGGCGCTGGGTCAGGGCCTCAGCCTCACGGGCTGCCCGGCGCCGTGCCTCCTCCCCTGCCTCCAGTGCCCCTGCCTCTTCCTCCTGGCGCCGCCGCCACTCGGAGAGCTGAGGGGAGGACAGAGAGGGTGGTTGGTGGTCACAGCTGTGAGTGACCAAGGTGTGAGCTGGTGGTGCTCCATTTCCAGGATGAAGAGACTGAGGCCTGAAGAGGGAAAAGGGTCACTCTGCTGGGCTCTTCTGCCTCTGAGTGGTATGAAGTTGTGAGTACTATGAGCCCTAGTTCTTCCAGGGAATTAAAACGACTCCCTCCAAGACGCAGAGATGAATCAGACCTGGAGTCTTTCCTGGGGAGCCCCTCGTCTGCTGGGGGAGACACAGCGTCACAGCCAGGGTGATAGGGGTTAAGGTAGCAGTATGGGAGCTATGGAAGTCCACAGGAAGGGCTCAGAATCTGTTTAGAACATTCAGGAGAAACTTCCTGAAGGAGGACCATTTGAGATGGGTCTTGAAGTATGCATAGGAGTTTACCAGTTGAAGGCTATCTGCAGGCAAGCACCATCACTCATTCATTCAATAAGCATTTCTCCAAGCCTACCATACATGAGGCTCTATATTGGGCTGTGCTACAGACCTGGATCTAACTCTAATGGGATTCTAGTTTGCAAGGGCTCTCAGTCTGGTGGGGAGACTCATGGGCACAGAAAGTCCCAGCCCAAGGTGACTGGAGTTGGGACAGAGGAGAAAGAGAAGAGGGGTCAGGAAACTTCCCACAGGGGAGCCTAATGCTAAGTCTGGAAAAATAAAAGGGTTTTTTTTCAAATAAAATAGGAAAGTAGTGACAGAGATGAATACAGCTAAAGACAGAGGAAGGGCCAGAGATCGCAGGGCCTCAAATGCCCAACTAAGAGGCATGGACTTTGTCTAGGGGTACTGGGGAGGCATGGGAGAGCTGTGAGCAGGGGAGGGACAGGGTCAGCTCCAGGTGAAGAAAGAAGCTTCTGGGGCTGTGTAGGGGATGAGCTGTTAGGGGAGAGGTCGGAGGCCCAGAGGCCAAGAGGAGGATCTAGGTGGGAGAGGACGGTGCTGGAGCTGGGACAAGGGATGAGGCTGAGAGTCAGGGGGCAGGAGAGCCAGGGCTGGGCACAGGCTGTGGGGGGTAAAGGGGAGTCAGAGATGAGAAAGGCACCCATGGGTCTGGCCTATGAGAAGGTGGGCAGCGTGGCCGTCCCTGAGCTGGGGAACCCAGGAGAAGCAGTGAGGAGGGCTGTGCCTCCCTGAAGGTCTTACGTAGGGCTGCTCACCTGGGCCTGGGTGGTCTGCAGTTCACGGCCTGCCCGCTCCCTGGCGGCTGCCTCCTCTTCCAGCTGCTCACGTAGCCCGGCTGCCTCAGCCTCCATGGCTCGCACCCGGGACCCCAAGGCCAATTTCACCCTGGTTTCCTCCTGCAGGAGCTCCTGTAAATGGAGGAGACAGCAATGTCAGGTGTGGTCGGGAGGAAAGGAGGGGAGGGTGACGGTGGAGCCGAAGGGCAGGCAGGGTCACCTGGGCGTCGTGCAGCTGGGCTTCTGTGCTGCTCAGCTCCTTCCTAAGACGGATGGCTTTGGACTCAGCCTCGTTCAGTGCCCCAGACACATTCTCCAGTTCAGCCTGCAGGGAAGGGACAGGGGAATGAAGCCCTCTAATCGTGGCTTCCACTCAGCGACCTCATGTGCCTCAAATCCCTCCCACACTGGCGGGAATGTGAAAAGGTGCAGCTGCCATGGAAAACAGTCTGGCAGATCCTCAGATGCTTAAACACAGGGTTCCCACATGACCCAACAATTCCGCTCCTAGGTGTACACCCCGCTTACCTGGGCTCGCTGCAGCTTCTCAGCAGCCTCCGCTCGTGCCCTCTCCCCGTCACCAGCCCGGCCCTGCACCTCCTGCAGCTGTGACTCCAGGCGGCGCCTCCGCTGCTCACCCTCCTGACGTGCAGTCTGCAGGCTGCTCAGTTCCGCCCGCAGCTCGGACACCTCGGCCTCCAGGGCCAGCCGCGTCTTCTCCCACGCACCTTTGCCCTGGTGTGGGAAGGAGATGACCAAAGATCTGTGAGGCCTTTCCTGGACCAGGCCAGGCACACTCCCCTCTCAGGGCCTTCACACTGGCTGTTCCCTCTGCCTGGAACACACTTCTCCCAATGCACAAATAGTGCACCCCTCCCTCCCTCGTTTTTTTTATTAATTTTTTATTTTTTTATTTTTTTTGAGACAGTGCTTCACTCTTGCTGCCCAAGCTGGAATACAATGGCGTGATCTTTGCTCACTGCAACCTCTGCCTCCCAGGTTCAAGCGATTCTCCTGTCTCAGCCTCCCAAGTAGCTGGGATTACAGGTGCCCGCCACCACACCCAGCTAATTTTTTGTGTTTTTAGTAGAGACGGGGTTTTGCCATGTTGGCCAGGCT